TGATTGAGTGAAGCAATTGATGAGTCGTACTAGCTTGATGCACGATGCTTGGTGGCTTGCAACCAGTCATATCCGTACCTATAGGATCGGTACTTGCTTGGACGCTGGATTAGTGTTCGTTATGAGCAAAGTCACCTACGGAAGTCTACATGCCAAAATTGACGCTACCGCTCCCCAAGTCCCCTCCCTGAGCCCGGAAATCTTTATCCTTCAAGTTTTCGAGACTTTACGAGTTTACAGCCAGCGGTCAGCAATCTTGCCTTTTTTTCCTTTCTTTCTTTTTTTTTTAAACGCGTCAAATCATCACTTGACGCGCCTTCTACAACGCTACCCTACATCGTAAGCCTCGCATACCCCTAGTCGATGGTGTTGGGCCGCCGCGCCCTTCCTTTGAGTACTGGACCAATGCCGCGCAAGCGTCGGAGTGGGGACCGTCAGCACTGAGAATCCTGCGTCACACGAGCCAAGCCGATGCCTAGTGAGATCGGAGGAACTTTCCAGGCACCCAACAAGCTTTCTGACAACCATCTGACAGCCAGGGTATGGATTGCGCCATGTTCGAACAACGCTTGCTGTAGACAATTGCTGTGCGCTTACAGCTGGCCCACGCAGGCAGAGTTTCGTGGCGCCGGGTGGTGCTTTCATTAGGTGTACGTGGGCGGTTGGTGTAACGTAAGCAGAGGAACCCCCAAAAATTGTCCCAAGTGAAAGTCGTGTACTTGCTCTCCAGGTTGGGTAAGACGACGCGCAAGTAACGACAGACAGCCGAGCCGAATGACGGAGTAAAAGTCGGAAATTACAATTCACGGCAATGCACTTGATCTGCAGGTAGGTGCGTGCATGCGAGTCCTCGATTGCCTGTTCAAGTGCTTTTTCCTTGCAATGCGTAGTCCTTTTTTTTCCACAGGCACCGAAAAAAGATGACGGCACAAAAAGCGCAGTCGTATCTGCTTCCCCGATTAGGCAACGGTGAAGGAGTCACTCACTGTATGTAAGTGTGGGTCGCACCTTACTCTTTTTTTCTTTCTGAAGGTGAGGTGGAGCTCAGTCGAGCCGGACCCGCGTACCTGGTCCGGTACCCACACTGCCGCGAGTCCGGGGAAACATTTTCCTTCCTGCTGTTGATTTCCAATGACTACGAAATGCACATCAGCCTGCGATGTTATTCTTTTGGGACAATCTGACATATAAAGGACCTCGGTTTGCCACCAACATGGCCGAAAAAAGCAGGCAACAATTTCAACCTTATCCGCGTCAACGCATCATGTCTGTCAACGCCGCCCTACCCCCGTCCCAGCGGGGCCAAAAAACAGCTGGATCCCGGTCAGATTTGATGGATGACCTCAGCAAAAGGCTTGAGAGCAACCCGTATGATGCGACAAGCAACCCCAAGGGCATCATCGATCTTGGGTCCGCTGTCAATGAGATTATGCTGGAAGACTTGGCCTGCTGGACGAAGCGAAATGTCAAGAAGAGCCAACTCAAGGAGTGTAAGTGATTCCGCCCCAACGCTATTCAGCACGTCTACGTAGCTAGCTTGCTGATGCCATTTTCAGCCCTTGGCTACGGTGACGCCCAAAACTCCCAAGACCTCCCAAAAGCAGCAGCAGCTTTCATGAACGAACACTTCAAAGTCCGCCTACCCCTAACAGCCGACAACATCCTCGCCGCAAATGGCGTGACAACACTCCTCGACGCCCTCACCTACAACATCACCGACGCAGGCGACGCCGTGCTTCTCGCGACGCCCTCGTATGGCATGTTCGCCCACGACGTCTGGACCCGGAACGGCGTCCGCGTCGTTGAGGTACCATGCGACGACATCCCCGAGGAGCGCTTCTGGGGCGAGCCGCCGCGCGAGGACGGGCCGGTGCCGGTGCCCGAGCTGGTTGTCCGGCTCGAGAACGCGATACAGGTCGAGTTGAGCCAGAAGCGCAAGGTTGGGGGTGTGTTGTTGGCGAATCCCGACAACCCGATGGGCCGGTGTTATGCTGCCCATGTGCTGCTGCAGATTTCGCAGCTGTGCGCGAGGCATAAGATCCATTTGATTGTCGATGAGGTATACGCCATGAGTGCTGGGGATCGGTTCTCCAGTATACTGAGTCTGGGGCTGGATGTCAACTTTAGGAACGTTCATGTGTTGTGGGGGCTGAGTAAGGTGAGTTGCCATCCCTGCACGGAGCCGTTCTGCCGGGGGTGTGGGGACCCTTGCCCATCGCGCGTTCGGCTTCGGCTTCGGAGGAGGAATCACGAACACAACCGACTGACTCTTTTCTTTCCCACCCCTGTAGGATTTCGGCCTCGGTGGGCTCAGGATCGGCTTCCTGGCGACGTATAACAAGGAGATTTACGATACCATGCGGGCGTCGAGGTGAGTCACCCCGCCTTTTCGGCTTACCAACACACGGTGTACTCCGTACGCCCTACCAAGCACACCAGGCTAACGATTCCGCATCTACAATCAGCACATTCGGGTGGGTCTCTGCACTCAGCGCATCAACAGCCGCGAAACTCCTATCGGACGCAAAGTACCTCCGCAACCAATACCTCCCCCAGTTCCGTCGCCGCCTGACCAAGAGGCGCACTTTTGTCGAGGAGGAGTTGGTAAAGTACGACATCCCGCACGTCAAAGCCGAGGCGGGCTTCTTTGTGTTTGTCAACTTGTCCGAGTGGGTGGATCTCCTGCTCGAGAAGCACGGCAAGCAGGGGGATTCGAAGTTTGTGGAGTACTTGATGAAGTACCGCGTCTATCTCGAACCCGGACAGGTGAGTTTGACGGTGTCTGTCGTGTCCCAGAGATGCTCCGGTGGTGGGAGCGGACCCAATTCTGCACAGGTTGCTAATGATAGGTGATGCGCTGCAGGCATTCTTCTCCAACCGGTCGGGATGGTTCCGACTCAATTTCGGCGGGGAAAAGGAAACGTTCAAGCTCGGTCTGCAGAGGCTGTTCCAGTGTCTGAGGTTGCTTGACGGCAAGGACCACTTTGATCCAACAATCGGCCTTCCTGGGATCTATCATCCTCCGCCAAAAGGGAGTCATATCGTCGCAGTGTGAGAAGAGCAAGGTGATAGTATCGAGCATGTTTTGGGTACAAGAAAAAGTCGCCGGAGGAAGGACATCGGGGAAAAGCTGAGGATACCCTTCCCGAGAGTCCGATCGCTTCGGAAGCGGCACGGTGAGAGTAGCCGGAGCTTGACATGTCGCGGCGAGTCAACGCTGCAGTCGCATGAGACTTCTGTCAGCCAATGTGCACTACACACGTCTTCGAGGTTGTGCATTGCTCTTTCTTTATTTTTGGGGAAAACTTGATTGGCGGGAAGCGAGGTCTTCGGATCGACGGCGTTGACCGAAGTTTCGGGTTTCTCTGGGGGAGTTTTTGTGGATCGTCTGAGGTTTCTGTCCCATATTTCCCTCGCGTTCGTCTTGTTTTATGTCGATCTCGGACTTGAGGCCGGTTGCGTGATCGACGTCTGAACCGTCTCTTTTGGTATTCTGGGTCGAGTTTCAAGGTTGGATTGCATACGAGGAGCCGGCGAGATGGACAGTACATGAATTGTATCTTGAATGGCAGTGCCTATCGGGAAATAGTGATCTCAAGCGACTTGGTCTGATTGATTCCAGTGTCTCTAAGATTACGAAAGGCGCGCTCGGTCTCTCAATTGATGGACCAGGTACCTCTCGGTTGCATGTTCTTTTTACCTCGGGCTAAGTTGTAAACAAAGACGTTGGTTTATCGACAATGTGAACATCAAGATTTAGAGTTTGCCCTGCTTTCAGATGACTCCCTGTAGTTGATTGCCTCGAGTCAACACACCTAGTTTCAGTCAAAGACGGCGAGTCAGCAGTCATCACCACCATCTCGGTCTGTAAGTGAATACAATATGACACGAACATGCATAAATACAAAGACATAAGCTCTTGCACAAGATAGAATAGTTACAATCTACTCTTTCTTATAATCTATCAATTGCTGGCATTTGAATATATTAATTCTACTTCAATACTATAGACCGCCATCATGCGCTTCTCAGCTCTAGCCCTCCTTCCATTCTTAGCCACAGCTGCCATTGCTCAACAGAAGGGAGATAAGGGTAGGTTCATAATCCATCATTTCTGAATCTCAATGGCCCAATAAAGGCCAAGAAAGCTGTACTGACCTAGAGTTATCTAGGTGAATGTCGGAATGACGCCGACTGTATCAGATGCGTAAACGGCGTCACGCCACTCATTTGCAAAAGTAGGCACTGCTGCCCCCTTCCGCCAGCCTGACCAGATGGCCTTGAGTTGCTGATGGTTGAATTATCTTGCTAATGCTCCATCGGCCTAGCTGATGCCACCTCAACAACTGGAAAGCGGTGCGGTGTTACGGGCGGGCCTTGTCGTCCTATCAACAAGAGGAGGTGGCAGGAGCGTATGATTTGAAAGAGATTGATTTACGGTACCCAAAGGCGTCGTTATTTGTATCCGTCCGTAGAAACGCGGAGCCAGTGTGCCGCTTGTATAGCTTGCCTCCTTCCTCAACAGGAATGGAGCAACACTTGTTCAGCTAGCCTAATGGCATGGCGGGAGGTAACCGTCGTTGGGAATGAGTTTTGCGACCACAATAGTTCGAAGGCTGGAGGCCAACTCCTCGGGTCGCTCCTCGGGCTACCTGATGACCTTTCATTATTTCATTCTTCCGGCGCGGACGTATAATTTCCCCCGGGTATGCCTAGATGTTGTAGAGGTTTCGTCTATGCGTAATGAAGAAATCGAAGCATCTCTTTCTACCGCGGTTGATATGTTTACGACGGAAGTGTCTTGAGAAGCTCAACTTGACAGGAATCAGCCCCTCTTGTAGGCGTTATCACAGCCCTTATAGTAGGCCATCCTCAACCATCTCGTCACTTGCAGACAAGTCTTTGGCGGGGCGGGCTGGTTCTGGTTCCATTCCGATTATTTGAGTGTATCGGAGGGGCGTGAGTCATCGAGGCTCACATCTACAGAATGAAGCTGAATCCTATCCAGTCTTATTACATCCAACATGGTTGAAGTAGCTGAAAAGTATCTCCTGTCCGGTGATGCTGCCACGCTGCTCTGCAGCCTCCATATCGATCATACTATGAGTCACGACGCCAGTAATGGCATTGGTCAGGGCAGCGGCCAAGGCGGTGGCCGTAGCCTCGACATTTTTGTCCTTGCCCTTCTCGGTCTCCCGGTCCCGGTGATTTCCGATTCAAACCTGGTGAAGTTGGGCGCCTTCATAATGACGAGCCTGTGGTTTGCGCGGACAGTCTCCTTCGGGGCTTGAAGGGTGTCCTGCACAATCTTGGAGACATCTAAAGAAATCCCCTTCTTCTGTGGCTGCTGCGGCGACTTCACAAGTCCTAATGGAAAAGAAACATCAGATTAGGTACTGAACATTACGATTGTGTATTTCCATGACTTACAAATTGGCCGGTGAACGGGCGTGTGGTCAGGTAGTGCTGGCGACGCCTTGTAGAGCGTCTCCAGCGTAAAAGGAGTCTGGGCCAAGCATAATTGCAGACGGGGTTGTAAGTCGCAGGGCCCGGGTACATCTATCTACGTCCTTCTTGCAGGAATTGTTCTGGTTTGCACAGTCAACGCAGCGCAAACCCTTTCCTGTAATTTCGTCAGCAAGAGAGGCGCACAAGCAGCTGCCCGGCACTTACCATGTCGTTCACGACACTCGGGATCTAGTTCGAGGGCTTTGCACCCGACGACGGGGATAGTGGAAGGGGAGGCCTCGAATAGCAGCGACAGCGGCAACCTTCTTTGCCTTGCGTTTCCGGTTGTACATTATTTCCGTAAGTAGAGCTACAAAGATCGATACGAGAGCACGAGGAATGAGGCCAGAGGAGAGAAAGCCGGCTTGCCAAGGCACTGAGATATGCGTGCGAGACCCTGTCGGACCTCCTCAGTCGGTATGATATAGCTGCCACCACCGGCGCCGAGATTCAGACCGGGGAAAGCCTCGAGCGATCGTGGCTATTTTCGCTGAAGCTCTGCATGAATTTCGAAATACGAGTAGTGGAAATCAATTGAGGCAAAACGGGGAAGGGCAGCGCGCGGTAGTGATCTTGTAAAGCCAAGCCGCGACCTCCAGCAAGAGATCGGCTGGTGAGAAAGACCGCCTGTAATGATGGGACGTAGAGGATATGTAGACCCGGGGCCGTCATCGGCGAGGGCCACTAGCCACATCTCGGTGCGATCGATTTCGCCTGGACTGGGTATGCCGTATACTTTGGGTTTTACCTGCCAAGAGACCAAACCTCGACCGCTATCACAGCGGTGACCTGTTTCAGCCGCAAAGTATAAAAGAGGCTAGAGTCGCTTGGATAAGAAAAGAGAGTCGAGGCAAGGTCGTTTAGGATTCTCGCGAGGGAGGCCCCCCCGGCAACAACTACTCTTTTGGTAGTGGCAATACGAGAGGTGATGGTGACGGGACTTCCGGCCTCGAGGACCTCGATGGGACGTAGAAAGATTTGTATATCCTAGCTGGCGGTTCTTATGCCAGAGTCACACCACAATGTACTCTCTATGGCCCGGGGTGTGAGGTATTGCCTGATGTGACGCTCGCGAACAGACTAAGTCAGTAATTGCCAGGGCTATAATGCTCGAGTGTTGACAAGTATTGCCTTTCTCAGAACAGGAGCCACCCGAGTCTTTTACCATATCGATGAGAGAAGCTTTTTAAGCAAATTGTCCTTCAATGGGTGCTATATTAGCTTCAGGTTGGCGGCATTAGTGCCGCTAAGGTAGTTCCTATGGCGTGTTGCTGAAAGACAGATGCATGCCGCATGTGCTCAGGTACCACAGAGCGACCGTACTCTAGCCGGGGGACCCGTGAAAAAGACCGCGGACTCTGCGGGGGCCGACCTCGAAGTACTCCTAAAAAGGGTCGTAGTCTGGCAAGTATAGGAGGAGCGTTTCTCCCAAATCCTAGCAGTTAGGCATTTTCCAGACGCGCTCATTTTCAGGCCAAGCCTTCTGAAAAATATAGTAGAACAGTCTCAGATAAGCGGATAAGTCGCAGATATGGTTAACCACCGGCCTTGCAATAACCAGGGTCAAGTAATCGTAACGCTCCTCCAAGAGGAATACAAACATCGCCGAGAGTTCGTTCTTGACACAGTGGGCCTCGTTAACTATAATGCGATGCCCAAAGGGAACTTTAGTCAGGTGCAAGGTAAATGTACATTGAAGGTGAGAATGGTGTACAGAAGACCCAGACACTGAATAGGAGCTGGATCAGTTATGAATGGCATTCGGTCCCGGGGACATGGTTTATGTGTGAATGGAGCAGTTTTGCGGAAATGAGAGACATGTTGTATGTGTGAGGAAGGGAGAGAAGCTCCAAGGCCAAGGCTGGGGATATAATTGGACTGATGCCCACCACCGCGCTCAGCTATTGTAGAGGGGGTATCACCATAAACAAATCCTCACGACCACCAGACGCCTGGGATCCATAATATTGGTGGGCTTTTTTCCTTGACCGAACATAAACAGAAGCTGTTGGTCTGTAATAAGGGGATATAAATACTTGACAGAATTTATCAATTGCTTCTTCATGTCTCTTTATGACTCTAACTTATCTATGGGTTTGTCCCGAATCGTTCTTGTTCTTTGTCGAATTCAGCTTGTGTGCTCTTGTGATTGCCAGATTGTCCGCAATGCACCTCTACCCAGCAAAGCCAGCAAACCAAGCCCCAACCGATACCACTCAAACACTGGATAACAAAGACCAAACTAAATGAACATGAAAGCATTCCTCCGCACCATTTCTATGATTGATTTATCAGAAGCCATTTCTGGTAAGCGGCTAGTTCACATGCGACGCAGCTCCGTCATGAGCTCCGCTTCACGAGAGGTAGCCTTGATAAGATCCCATTGTAGAGCCACCTTTTCGTCCTGAGATCTGGCAAGTAGAGAGTGCAGAGCCTCGTTCTCAGCACGCAGCTTGTTGACCTCAAGTCGCATCTTCTCAATGGCAGCGCTCTGGTCGTTGTTCTTGGGAGTTGCACCAGAAGCAACGGGGTTTTGCTGAGTTCTAGCAGCAGCCGGAACAGTATCGTATCGAGCTCTAAGAACCGGGTTCTTGGTGACCGGAGTTTTGGCGACCGGAGTCTTCTGGATAATAGTGGCGGAGGGACCGTTGTAGGGAAAGGCTGGGTTTTGCTTGAATGCGCGGGCGAAGTCGCTCTCTCGAACAAAGTCGCTCAATCTGTCGAGGCTGCGAAGAAAGCGCTTGAGCTCTGTGACGGTAGTTGGCTTGCAAGAGTAAGGCTTTTCCTGATGGGCCCAACGTGCGTACAGGATGGTACCTATGACACCACCAATGTCCTTGCCGCAGAAAGGGACGCAGCGAAATGTACCCAGCCGAATGAGCTTCTCCATAGCGAGATCCCAGGCAGATTCACTCACACTGCCAAAGATGGATTCCGGGTTCTCAGCAACCCACAGGGCTAGAGTGATAAGGTCATGGCCGCGATTCGCAATGACGATCTTGCGATCAATGTCGCCTTGCACCGCCTCGTCTTGCTTCTCATAGCGGTCGCAGACAATATTGATGAATGCCATTTCGGTTTTTGGGGTCGGCGTGCCGTTCTCATTCAAACTCTCCTTGAACCTTAGGCCCGGGAAGGTCTTGAGCGATTCGTACCATTGAGGCTTAGCTTCAGACTGAGAGGTCTTGGGGTTGGAGGATTTGTTGGCCATCTTGGGTGTTGATTCTTTCAAGAACGAGTTAGTCCTGCGAATTCACCGAACCTCGAAGCTTGTCGAGTAGTTGTTACCTTAATATTAAGCAACGCTGCTGGAGGAGAAGCAAAGCGTGAAGTGACGCGCTCTCTTTCCGATCCGAGGTGTGCTCAGGAATCGGGATGTGAAAGGAAGAGGAAAGCAGGGCACGACAGCGGTGTCAGAGATGGATGGATTGCAAAGTCAAGTACAGTAAAGATGAGCAAGGCGAAGTGGTGAGTTGACGCGACTTTCCCTGGCCCGGATTGCGGAATTGGAATGAGGAAAGAAGAGACAGGATTGAGATGGAGGGTGAAGAGAAAAGTATAGCGCAAGAAAGGCGGCAGAGATGGAGGATGTGCAATGTAAACAAAAGAGGGGGGGGGGGGGGAAGGGGGTGAGTGTTGGTGAACGTGGCTCGACGCGACGCGACGGTCAGTGTGAATATACGCGGCGGGGGATATAATTCATTGGGAAGGAGCCATACGGTCACCGGATATGGTCTATAAGTCAGAAGATTGCTAAAATTGTCACCCATCGGATGAGGAGATGCCTTTGGCGTAATAGTTGGGACTGCCCACTCCCGACCTCAGCGCTAGGTAATTGACCCCGGTGGCTTTCTATTTTTTTGAGGTCATGAGTTCGATTCATGCATAGTGACTCTTTTTTCTATTCTCGCCCTTTCTTTTTCCACCTACTCGTCTGGCTGTGACATTGTGAGCCTCGACGTAGACCCAGAGATGCCTCCAAGGTAGGGTAGCTGACTTGGGTGCTTCAGTAAACAGATGAACAAGCATTCTTCCCATACTCCACGCGGTTATTATGGAAAAAGACAGACACTCGCTAGTTGGATTCATCCTCGTTACTATAGACGACGAGAGGCAGAAGGGATGAGCTGGTACTTTTGAGCAGCAGACGGCGATGGCCTCGGGCAAGTGTCATTATTACTAGAGCTAGAATCCTTACTAGGACTCTTTTTTCCAGAGCATCTTCCATCCAGAGTACTCATTACAAGTTATTAGAACATCATCAGGTGCAGAAGGATAATCTCATTTAACGGATCGATTCACTAAAGACATGAAACTGCCTCCCAACTCAATCATCCAGTCCCTGCCTCACTCCATCCTCTGCGCTGATATTGGCTCTCTGGAGCCTCCACTTACCAAATACGGCGGCGGGCCTTCTTTGCCTCGTCGAGCTCAGTGCGCAGAGCTTCGTTGACAGTCTCGAGAGTCTCCTGCTCTTCAAGCCGGGCTATGTTGGCGTTTCGGAGAGCAGCCAGCTCCTCGGACCTCGCCTGAGCCGCCTGGAGGGCTTCTTGGGACTTGGCCTGGGAAGCACGGAGCTGAGATTCCAAGTCCTGGATTCTCTTGTTGACGATCTCCTGATTGCTCTGCATGGCCTGCTCCTGCTTGGCTATTATACGTTAGTGAAATGCCTCAGAGCACGACTTCGATCCAGTAGCAACAGGTAACTCACCCGACTCACTCTTGGGATGAGGACGGTACGGCAGACTCATCTTGTTGCCGGAAGAGGCGTTGGAAGAAGAGGCGACGGAAGGCTTATTGGGATGAGGTCGAAGCGGCAGGGAGAATTGGTTATCGGCAGGCGCATTGGGCTCGAAAGAAGTAGAAGCCCTCATCTTGCGTTCGTCGAGAACTGCGATCCACTCGTCGAGGGTGGCGAGGAAAGCCTCAACGACGGGGTTGGGCTCTTCGATGCTGGTATTGTTGGCTCTGAGGTTCTGAATGCGGGCGCGAATGATTCGGTCAACGACGAAAGTGACCGAATCAATTCCGAGCTCACTGGAGTCCTCCCACTCACGGGAAGGGCCAGAATCCTCAGCAAGGCGGGTGAGGGCAGCGCCGTACAATGTGCTGAAGTTCGCATGTTTGCCGGAGATGTACAGATTGATGATGGCGCGGAAGAGAACATTGCCGCGATTGGCAATGTAGTGCTGACGAAGAGCAATGTGGTCCCTTCCATGGACAGAATCGTTGTGGCTGAACAGCTTTAGGTAGGCGGCATTGACTCTGCGGTTGAATAGAGGAGCATCGCCTTCAATGTAGAAGTCGAGGCCTGGAAAGTCCAGGATCGCCTTTACCCAAGGGCGATTATTGGGGGGCATTCTGCTTCTTTGTGGTGGTAGCTGATGATGTTGTTTTTCTTGCTACCAACCGTCTTGTGTGGGAGTGAGAAGAAGGAGAAGGAAAAGAAAAAGGGCAAAGGCGGAGGAGTGGAAGTCTTCGATGCTAGGAGAAAGTCGGTCGCTTCCTTCCCAGTTTGTGACAGTTAGGATTATTAGAAATTTCTTCGCGTGGGCGGCTGGAAGTTAACGTTCTTCCCTGGTGAGAGAACCTTGGACGAACTTCAAGTGGGCCGCAAGAATACGACGATATCAAAGATGAAGGAAAACATATTTCATTGCCTCATAGACATCGCGAGGTGAATTCCGCCAAAACTAGAATCAACAAGGGGATTCGAACTCATGACCTCCAAAAATAGAAAGCCACCGGGGTCAATTACCTAGCGCTGAGGTCGGGAGTGAGCAGTCCCAACTATTACGCCAAAGGCATCTCCACATCCGATGGGTGACAGATGAGAGGAATAGTTCTCACATATAGGCTCGAAGCGAGATTCCTGAGGCTTCATTCGCAGCCCACAAATCTATTCGCGTCTTCAAAACCGGCAGGTATTACCCTACTTTTCTTCAGTAGTCGGAAAGTCAATTTTACGGCCCACTTTAACCTCCTGCTACATAACGACGCATTCATTCATACAGATTTTCATGCCTCTATTTTGCCTTGAGAGAGAAGGACCACCGTCAGCTCTGATGTCATATCTCGCAAATACTAGTTCTACAGCGTATTTGCAGCCCAAAGCCATGATAACAGATCATGAAACAAAGAAAAACCTAATGAGGGTGCCAAATAGACCATGATGGCGTGAATCGTTGAAGCTGATAGATCAGAGATGTGGAGGAAAGGCGGGTGGGTGATACGACGAAGAAATATGTGGAAAGAGCGAGTTAATATAGAGACGGAACTCGAGGCCGCCCTTGGAAGCCATCGTCAGGGCTTGAGAGGATATTCATGAGAAATCAACGTTTTGCTCAATAGTTGACAGGGCCTACGGGGCAAGCTACGTTCTCAACCCACGAGCTTCCTTTGACCTAGAAACTGAAAGTCTATCTCATAGAAAAATGAGAGTCTGAAGGAGGGATTGAACCCCGGACTCCAAAAATAGAAGCCACCGGGGTCAATTACCTAGCGTTGAGGTCGGGAGTGGGCAGTCCCAACTATTGCGCCAAAGCATCTCCGCGTCCGATGGGTGACAGATGGAGAGCAAAAGTTGTACATATGGCCTTGCGGCGACACAGTGTATCCACGAATACTGGCAGTGAAGGGAGGATAACAGTTCTATCGCATGCTGACAGATATTCCCCAGCTAATATTTTCCTCTGATCGAAACCCTTCATGCAGGCATGAACCTTGTGCTGCCCTCGCTTTGTTAGACGTGATGACTTTGATAAGACGCCTTATTTCGAGCACCGGTTCGCTATCTACCTTACCTTAGTATGATACCTCGGCATGCCTGATTACTCGCCTGGAGCTCTCTCTTGGATGGATGGTGGGTCGTCTGGAGGAGAAGGTTTGCGGATGCGATTATGTAATGACCCCTGTTTCCACAATGTTATTCCAACTACATCCCTCCGCGTTGTGACAATTCCTTCGCTGTCTCCAACTCAGGAAAGTTTTCTTTGATTGGGTTCTTATTTACGAAAAAATCCGGTTTAAAAGAAAATTGCTCTGTTTACTACCAGGAATCACCGTTCACGGTGCCGAGATGTGTGTCCCTGTCCCGCCAAGGCCATGCCCAGACTTCCAAGTCTCCCCTCACCACTCATTTTCCGTCCTGATTCTCGCACATCTCGAGGCAAATGATGCACTAAGACGTGGGATTGGAACCAAGACCACCACCATTGTCATGACACCTTCGATAAGATGCTTGGCAGTGCGGGGAAGCTGGCTTGCAGCGTTTGGTCTGCGAATGGGGCACAAGATGAAAGTGAGGGAGGTGTTTTCCTACGTTCTTTTCTGCGAAGCCTAAAAGTTCTATAAAGTTTCTCCATTTCCCGTTGAATTGCCTTGAAATCCGGCTCTCTTGGAATCCAAGCTTAAGCTGACTGTCAAAGATTTGCCATCGCCGTCTCGTGAACCTTCTCGGCCACTCCCGCCGCCATGAAACTCTCTTTTGTGAACCGAAAGGCTGAGCCAGATGCCAAAGATCCCACTTTTGTCCCGACGGAAGTTGAAGAGGCTCTCAAAGTTGCTCCTGAGGTTCGAGATTATGCTGGCGCGCATGCGAAGTATGACCCAACCGAGATCGCCCTGGTGCGTCGTCTTGACTGGATGATCATGCCTATACTATGGTAAGAAGGCCTTTCCACCCGGAGTTGAATATCTACTGAAGAAACTTCAAGGTTCATGTACTGGCTCAATTACTTAGTGAGAATGCTCCAACTGCAAACCTCTCAGCATACATATCTGACCTGCGTTCAAGGACCGCAACGCCATTGCCCTAGCCAGACTCAACACCCTCGAAGAAGACCTCAATCTCACCTCGACAGAATACCAAACATGCGTCTCGATACTCTTTGTCGGATACGTCATCGTCGGTATCCCCGCAAACATGGTCGTGACGCGAGTCCGCCCAAGCCTGTGGATGAGCTCCTGCATGGCCGTCTGGGCCATCATTAGTGCCCTCACGGCAGTCAGCCAGAATTACACGGGCTTACTGCTCACTCGCTTCTTCCTCGGCATCACCGAAGCGCCTTACTATCCAGGTGCGCTATACGTGCTCGCTACGTTCTACACGCGTAAGGAGTTGGCGACGAGAATATCGATTCTGTATACTGGGAATATCCTAGCGACGGCCTTTGCTGGCCTGATTGCCCTGGGAATATTCCAGATGCACGGAATGGTTCATGTCCTCCCCTTGATGTCCGGCGCGGACGTTGACGAGGGATCAGGCCGGTATCGCGGGCTGGAGATGGCTTTTCATCATCCAGGGCGTAGTCACCCTCGTCATCGCCATAATAGCCTTCTTCATCCTCCCCGATGAACCTCTCACGACACGATGGCTCAGTCCTGAAGAACGTATTCTAGCCAACGAACGAATTCTTCAAGACACTGTGGGTAACACTGGCCAGACGACAACCTGGTCTGGTCTCCTTGAGGCTGCCAAAGACCCCAAGGTATGGCTCTTCACTGTAATGCAACACTGTCATCTTGGCGCCAACGGGTTCAAGAACTTCTTTCCGACCGCGGTTGAGACTTTGGGTTTTGATGAGACGATTACGCTAGTCCTCACTTGTCCTCCGTATCTTATTGCGGGAATAATATCGATTGCTTGGTCCTGGTCCTCTGGGAGGTTCAATGAACGTACTTGGTCAGTTTAAAACCAGCTGTCAGATTCGAGTGACGTACATGTTGATCATAAACAAAGGCACATCACCATCGCAAAATCAATTGCAGTATTCGGCTTCATTCTCGGCTGCGCTACCCTGAATACGGGTGCTAGATACTGTAAGCGACCGTCCCTTGCAAGGTATCTAGAGGATGCTAACATCTCAGTCTCAATGGTCGTCTTCTCGGTAGGCACATATGCAGTGAACTCGATTATACTGGGTTGGGTCTCGGCGACTTGCTCTCAGACGAAAGAGAAGAAGGCATCTTCGCTCGCAATAGTCAACTGTATCGCCGTCGCATCCTTCATCTGGACACCCTACATGTGGCCCAAGTCCGACGAGCCTCGGTACGTCATGGCGATGTCTTCGAGCGCAGCGCTTAGCGTTGCGACTGCCATGGGCGCGTGGGCGATGCGGTTCTGGCTCAAGAACGAGAACAGGAAGATTCGGCAATCCGAGAACGAAAACGTTCTATTCTATGCGTACTAAGGGTTGGATGATAGGAGAGACATGCAGGACGCTTCGCACAAAGACGTTGATTATTTCCGTCACATTCCTTTCAGCCTAGACACTCAATGACATAGCAATCCCTGAAGTACCCCTTCCCATTGTAATCCCCAAACGCAGCGACGGGATGCCTGTTCACCAATTGCCACATCTCACAGTCTTCCTCGACTCCATCGATGGTCATCCTGATTGCTCTGCCCTTCCGTCTTTCCCTAAGCTCAAGCTCCAACGCTGATTTCAAGTAGACCCACGCAACAATGTCAGGACCAGTGAGACCTGAAGAAATTAGTCTTGGAAGCAGATAGTCGAGAACGGTGGTGATAAAGTTTGTGCCCTCGGACAAGCCTGCAGCCATCCTGAGCAGGACATCCACCCGAAGAACAGTGAATTGCTGCCGCTGTTGCATGTTCATGCCACAAACAATACCAAGAACGACCTTGGCGAGTGCATCTGTGCCCGAAGACTGCACAGACGGGTCGAACAGAGACCGCAGGTAGCTGCACGTCATCCTACACACGAGATAAATCACGTACTCGAGAGCTTTTCTCGTGTCACCGAAACGGTAAGTGACAAAGGTCTCAAAAGTAGCGCCACTGATCAGATCCGAATCCGCCCCAAGATTGACGACCGGCATATCGTGGTCGCAGAGTCCCTTGTGCCAGTTATCCAGCCGATGCGAAAACACATCGCACTGCCGCAATATCGTGTCAGGTGTGAGGTTCTCCTTGTGAAAGTCCTTCAGGCGCACATTACGGCGATCCGATTCCCGGCCGAGGACAGACATAAGCCACAGTGCAACTTTCTCTGAAGCGCTATCGCCGTCTGCGGTCGTATCTTGGCTAAATGTAGCCTCCATCGCGTAGCGTGCATGAAGGCCATGTAGCCTGAATAATATATCACGAATTGCGAGCTGTGGGTCTAGTAGACTCGAGACATCGTAATTGTCTACAACATTGCACGTCGCTCGCGTCGGCAACATCATGAAACGAACATCGTAGCGAAGCATCCGCCAGGCTTTGAAGAGGTCGGGGATGGACGACGCGGCAAAGTCGAGCTTGGATGCGATGGCGTCCAGCCCGGTAGCGTGATTCCTGATGCCAAGGGCTGTGCCGGCTTCCAGCTCGTGGTAGGCAAGCAGTAAAGCGGCGCCCGCGAGCTCCTCGCCGCGGTAGTTTTCCACGTTCTGAAGTTGAGCTTGGAGGCCTTTGACCGCTGTGTCATAGTAGATCCAGACGCTGCTGTCGTCGCATACTCGACGGAGCACGAGCGGGTCGATGGGAAGAGGTTGCGTCAGCTTAATGTTGCTGGCGGACAGAGCTAGGACCGCTGATCGGAAACAGCTACTCTGGCGGAAGAGATTCGGAAAGGAGAGAGCAACTGGTATCAAAGGAAGGACGTTCCTGTCGAAGTGCTGAATAAGGACCTCTTCTAGAGGTATTGATAGCTGGCAGTCTGCCGTCGGTTCGCCTAGGGGAGATGAAGTGGACGTGGAAGACCCCGGAGACGAACGGTCGGTGACGAGGAACTCGTCCCACCCAGTCGTCAAAGCTAGGCTCGGGGCTTCCGCTACCGGTGCCGAGCTGTTTGGTACTCCACTTGCCAGCATCAACCGGTTGGCAGAATTTTCGAACGTAGTAGGTTGCTCTATTCCGCTCGAGGTATCCCTTGGTCTGGCTACCTCCTGTTGTTGTTGAGGCGGATCTTGAATCGCGGAAGAAGCACCAGATGTGTCGAAAAGTGACCACGGTAAGGTGAAGGACCCAGCGAGCCAGCCCTCAGCGTTCGTCGCGTGCCATGGAGACATAGGTGCCAGAATCGGAGCTGTCAACGTATCATCTCTCGCCGGCATTTCTGTAATGTTTTCCGGCGTTGATGACTCCCGAGCGACAGGGGACGGCTCCCCGATTGACCCAATACGGCGTCGTTTCCTTCGCTCATCCTCAAGACGTAGAGCGGCCCATCTAGCTTCCTCAAACTTCCTCGAAGACTCGGCTGCTCGAGTGGTGACGTCTCTGAAGGTCACGGGACGCTCGTAGCCGCTGCACTTTACTCCTTTCTTCACGCAAGCGAGGCATTCCGGGCGTGTCTCGTCACACTGTTTACGAGTCAGTTGGAAGGTACTTTTACAAGACGGGGAACATGGCGAAGAAAGTAGAATGTCACCGTGGGAAGTACGACCTTTCTTCTTTTCTTTTTGCAATTTTGACAACCCGTTCGCTTGCGGACAATGTCAGTCTTTTTGGGGCGGGTAGAGTGGGATTCCATGGGTGGCGCCGAGCCGGGAAAGACACCGTGAAAGCCGAGCTTTCAGCGGCAGGCAGACGGGACTGATGGTTGTTGAAATCGCTTAGGTGTTCATTAGAAGACAGTAGATGCACTGCGACGTCCTTGAGTCCTGCGAAACATGCAGATATGACCAAGGGCCCGCGAGAAATGCCAAGAATATCCAGTGATGCCCGCCAGAGGGCAGTGGAAGTAAGGTGAAGAGCAGTAACAGACGTGGGCCCAGATCGAGCGGATAAGCGAGCGAAAGGAGCCTTCCCTATTTTGGTCGGCGGGTGCGCCGCTAAGCCTGTTATGGCTGTGCGGAACGGCGCAACGGACAAGTCTCCACCCGTTCCGCACCGGCGTTCGGCGATAAAGTCGCTAGTCGCTAGGAGATCATGCGCGCTTACCTCACCCAGTCTAAGAATATGAAGTAATACCTCTACGCCAGAAATCACTGATTCCAGGTCATTGGTACATTATGTCCACCTCAACTTTCTAAAGTGAACCAATGGGGTGTCAGTACCTAGGGACACGTAAAGAGGAGGCACTTCTTTCACAAAGTTGGTGTGCAACAAGCGTGACTCTATAGATATAAGAGTTGCATTGAAATTGCGCAAACACTCACGCTTGGTCTAGGTAGTCTGGTCATTTGAACATGAAAGAACTTTTGTAAAACCCCAATTATTCTGACAAGGGTACTAAGTAAGAAGTCATAGAGATGAAGCTTAGCCATTTTATTGCTTTGCGTAAGTGTTGTAGCCCCATCTTTTAGCGGCTAACTGGAACCCGCCTCCCCCAATGCAAGTTGCTGAAACTGCCTCCAGATCGCAAAGGCATTGGCCACAACATCATCCGTCTGCGCGGAATCCGACTTAATCTCGTCCCCGACGATACGCTCTGAATCGGAACCAGGTGAAGGCGGCAGCTGGATCCTACCATGCTGAGCCATCACCATCGCTGCCGTCTCCCCCTTCTCATTCAGCAAATTCTGAGCCGCCCCGGCCTGGATCAATGCGTCAAAAATTGCGTTCGCGTTTCGTACCCGCTTCTCTGCCTCCGCCGGAGCACTAATTATCGAGCCGAGGAAGCCGTTTATAGTTTCGTGGCCAAAGAAGTTGTTGGTTCCGATAGCCCAGCCTACCGTAAATCCCTGCTCCTCGTCAACATCCCACGCCAGGAGGTCGTCCGTTTCCCCGATGGGCAAAGGGCTTGCTATTGAGAGCGTGTAGGCGACGTGTAAAGGCGTCTCCCCATCGGAATTGGGGTGATTGACGGGGGCTCTGCAGCGGATGAGAAACTCAATGATCTGTCGGCTCTCTTGAAGGACTCCTGGGATCATTTTCACTCGGCCCATGGTGTCTGCGAGGAGGCTGAGCTCCTCTTCGAACGATCCAAAGACTTTCTGAAGAACTTTGAACACCTGATGGAGTTCCGACGGTCGAGATATTTCCAAGGCAGCCATGAATAACAACCTGCGGTCGCGGCCGCTGGGGTCTGACTCTGCTCTCTTGGCGATTAGTGCTTTCAGCTTTGCGCTCTGTAGGGACACCCTTTCGGGCTCGGTCATATTCGTGGGATACAATCTCGCTACCGACGAGGACAAGCCGAGCATGACGACGTAGCTTTTGTCTCCTGGCCTCACACCCGACGCGTTGAATGGATCTGCTCCGGCGTCGAGGAGAAGCTGGAACATTTCGGTGGATGCGTAGTAGATGAGGCTGTCCACCACCAGGTTGATTCTGGTTCCTGTTGGCTGGAGGCGCGTACCCTCAGGTGTCCACCCCGCCCACTCGATGTATTCGTGGTTGACGTCGAACCCGTGGTCTAGCAGGAGGCGAAATATCTGCAAGCTGACCTCTAGATCCTCCGGCTTGTGCTCCAGGAGGAAGATTCTTATCGCTTCGTGTAGACAAGTCGCTTCGCCGGTGTCATTGGGCGGGTACACCGTCGACGCCCCGTGCTCTAGCAAAAGCTCAACGGCATCCCGGTCCAGGTTCCATATGGCGGCCTCGAGCGGTGATTTGTGATCTAGAAAGACGTGCAAGGTGTCCTCCTGTTCGCACTGGCAAAAGCCGATCCGCTGTGTCGCCGGACGTGCCCCGTCGACATGAGCGCCAGCTTCCAACAGTCGCCGGAGGCCTCTGACATCTGTGCCTCTCTCGACATGCCAGAGAAGCAACGGTTCTGTGCGCATGAATCTGTCCTTGTCGATGGGAATGTTCGGGGCAAGCTCTAAGAGTGTCTCGATCATGGCACTGCTGCTCGCCAGGTGCAGGACACTGATGTGGTGATCAACATCCGCTGGCATGCCACGGAACGCAAAGACCTGCAGCAGCGGCTTTTCCAAATCTGCGCCGTACTTGTGAAGGAGTCTGACGGTTTCGACCTGGTCTTCTAAGATGGCGTGGGCCAGGACGGAGTAGTTTATCCAGATCTTGTGCGTATCGCACGCGGGACGATACAGGCGCTCAATCACGAGCGCAGCCAGACCCTGCCTTCTAATGGCAACGTTTGACGGCGCTTGAAGCATCAGATTGTTGACTGGGAAGTCAAAGTCGGCCGGGCAGGCAAGCAAAGACCTTGAACAGGCAAACTTAGCTTCGTAGCCGAGTTGTAAGAGTTCCTCGACCCGGTCTACTTCATTTCTGATAATGGCTGCTAGCATCGCGGTGTATGTTTGCGATGCTAAATCGCGGTGCAGCAGGAGACTTCGCTCAAATGACGTTGCAAAGCGTTTCTGAGTGAGGGTGAGTTGGAAAATGTCGCGGGGCGTGAGGTATTCGCATATGCCATGCATGATGTCTTCAGCGAGAGTGGATAGTGAGGCCATGGTACACGATGGACTTATGGGAGCATTCGGCTCCTTCTTCTCAACGAACAGTGATAAAGGGATGTAAAGAAGTGCAAATCTGTTTGAGAGATAGTTCCTTCAGGCTGAAGAAATATAAAGAGGACGATACTATCCGCGACTGGAACATGACGTTTAAGCGAGAAAGCCCTTGCAGGGCGGACAGCTCGGATGCCGGCATATCCAAGGAATGCAGCGAAGAGCGGCCAAGGGCCTGGCAGCAAGGGAATGAAATGGAAGAGAGTCGCCTTGGCAGCTGAAATGCAACTTGGGTAATAACCTCAAGTCACAAGGCAGACTAGGCAGACTTGACAGCTTGGCTACTTACCCCATGGGGGCTATGGGAGCCCGGATCAGGAGATCGCAACGTCGAATCAATTCAACTCGGGGTTTGGAAGGGGTTTTGGCATCGCGGAACCGCTCCGCTCCGCACTACTCCGCGCGCTGTTTAAAGCTTCCTCCCACCGGCTGCATCCAACTCAAGAATTTGAAACAGCGATATCAGGAGCTGTTTAAGACGATCAGGGCAATGGCATCTTCGCATTCACCCTTTTTTTACCCTACCTATTTCTTTCCTTTTTGTCTTTAGTCCTCATGATGCACCTCAAGCGGGATGCTTCAGATCTGTGAATCCACTCTGTCCCATAACCAGGACCCACGAACCTTGGCCGCCGATCTTCGCTTATGATTTCCACTGATTGGTTGGTCCAGTTCTCCGCCAAGTCAATTCCGACATCAGGTTATGATGGAAGAAGATCACTCACAAGTTCCGCGAGTGATTAATGAGATAAAAAGTGTTGCGAGGCAGTTTTCTTCCACCACGTCGCATCAGCTGGCCGTCGGAGTTGACTCCGACTCTCAATCAGGGTATCAAGACCAATATGCAAAACGTCACATCGACTACACGTGCATCGGCTCTGAACTGGGAAAATTCCTCAACTGCTTCGATCTGGATTTAAGAGTGCAGAGGTTCTTCCGCGGCAACGCTAGACCCAAATCACGTCTCATAGATCCTGAAACTGCTCTACGGGGAGCAATCGGTACGGTTTTGGTACATTGCAAGAGGCTTGAACGCTCAGGTAATTGGCCAGCATAACCATTTGAGGCCAAAATGCCTTCAAAAGCTGACAGATTTCCTCAAGAATCGATCGGAAAGTCGAGGAAGTAACCGGTCACGCTGTACACATGAATTAGCAAAGATGTGGTGTAATTAAAACCATGTGACTGAACGCCACTGCTCGCAAAAGCCATATTCCCCTCGGCTCCATGCCGAGGCCCATCGCCCGAAAATGCCCCACTTCCCCGTTCCAGCTCGCCGGCCAAAGTGGAGTGTCACACCGGCCCTCCGATGGTAGTATCGCGAAAAAAACACGTCAGGAAAGCCAACCACGCCCGACCACAGGAAGGAGTCGAAGGAGCCCGATGGCCGGGTGCTAGTGCAAGGTACTTTTTCCCCGCGTGTCCTCGATGTAACATCTCATCTACAAGCGGCTAATCCTCCTGGGTTTTAGCTTCGTTACTCGAAGAAAATTGCATCGCGAATTTAGGCAGCAGACATGTTGCTGTGCCGCAAGGCACCACGGCACAGCAAACAAATGGTCAGCCAGTAATTAAAGTGGTGAAACTTGAAGGAAGAAATAAGGAAATTTTGCTTGGCGTTTGCTTTGCCGCATGGTGAAAATTCGCGAACTTGGACTATTTAAATGGATATGGCGTCCCTCGTTGTCCCAAGTCTTTCTTGTGAGTTTCTCAGAAGTTGAGCATTTTCAAAAAGAAAGTGTACTGCCAGAAAGGAGTCGCTACAACCAACCGAGAGATCGGCATCGAAGACAAGACTAGGTCCTCTATTCAACCTCGCTCAACCATGCATCTGCTCAAACTCATCTCCCTCACAACGGCCATGGCGCCAACAGCCTTCGCCCAACTCTGGTTCGGCACCACCCTCCCGACCTCGACCGCCGCCGACGAATACCTCTCCCAACACGTCAAGTCCGTCCCGAGCACCATCACCGGCGCCGTAGCAACCTCCCTCGCGACCGCGCTGTACAGCGTCGACCAAAAGTACTTCAACGACAAGGAGTGGACGACGGTCTACTCCCACATGTGGTCCGCCGCCGCCAAGGCCACCGACGCGCCTGACGTCGTCGCCTCGATGGCGGTCAACGGGTATAGCCTGGACACCCAGCAGGAGGCCAAGTGGTGGAAGGATAACGTGCCGGACAAGGACGACAAGTGGGTTTCGTCGTATGTTTCGGAGTGGCAGAAGGCGTGGCAGGATAATACGGCGGCGACGAAGACTTCAAAGGGCGGCGCTGCTGTGGCGAGGTGTACTGGGATGGCTATGGCTGGTGTTGCTGCTGGTGTGGCTGCTGGAGTTATGGTCGCGATGTGAGAGGCGGAGTATTGTCAGTTGTTCGAGTCCTTGGCTTTGTCGTCCAGACTACGCTGTCTGCGATGCAAATTCAGTGGGTTTAATGTGGGACTGAATAGTGCGACATCTTACCTTTCTTCGTATCTCTCAATGAAGCGATCAAGTTCGTCCACATTCTTCTCGATCTTCTTCAGATGAATTGCCCTCCTAGTCTTGGCGCCCCAAGACTCTGAAGTCTCGACCTCAAGTAAAACTTCCAAACCATTGCTATCGATTTCTGCGCACGAAATCTTGTGCTCCAATGAGTGAATGTCTGACTTGCTGGCGTCGAGCTTCCGCTCTAAGCCCTTCCGGATCTTGACCAACTTCTTGCGCTTCTTCTCGGCATTATCGAGCGTCTTTTCGAATGAAGACATTCTTTGGCTCAGTAACTCGTACTGGTTTTGGAGTTTGTTGATGTCGGCTGTGATATCTTTCTCCTCTTGAGTCTGTGGTAGAACAGATGAAGCATTGTCGCTCGGGGGTGTGGCAGACGGGGTCGGGACTCCCTCGTCATTCTGCTGTACAGTTGCTTGTACTATGTCTTCCAAGACTTCTGAAATGACTGTGTATGCTGATTTGCCAAGATCCTCGACTATGTTGGTCAGCACCATCGTCTCAGATTTGTCGATCTCTGTCGCTAAGCGGCAGGGAACAGAGAGGCTGTAACCGGCGTGACGAGAAGAAAATAAGAGCAAAGGGCAAGTAGTCTTCTTTTCTCATCATCGAGCTAAGTGAAATATGCGGGCGGTGGAGCGAGTCGAGATTAGTGGGACCTGTCAAAACGAAGGTTCAAGATGAATACGGATGTCCAAAAGGGTCACCACGAACTTATCTTCAATCAGTCAGGTACGAACCGGAAGTACAATTTCTAAATGTAGGGGATCTTACCAGAATTGCCATGCGACCTATAGTTTGTCAAAAAAAAAAAAAAAAAGAACCAGAAAGCAGCGCTTATGCTATCCAGGTGACCACAACGGGAACAAGTCGTTGTCGTGATAGCATCATTCGCCTGTTCAAGGACCGCCATCACGTGACCGCAACGAAAGACGACAAGGTTAGCCAACAAAACTGTTCCTTCGAATCATTTTCTCACCTACAGCGCCCTCGTGAAATCACAAATGGGTGCTATTTCAGCAATGTGACTTTCCACAGTAAGTTATCAGACGAAACGCTATTAGCAAGAGAAGACCCGTAGGAATGGAGGCATTAGTGGAGTGATACTTGATCTAGTAAAAGCAAGTGACATTTCGATACCCAAAATAGGCAATCTAGGACTAGATGTATCTACAATCTGCAAACTCTTTCCCATCTACTTCCGTGGCCCTTAGTCAATTCTGTCAAGTACGCTCCAGCATACAAGCTACATTTACCAGCAAAGTCATAACCCTTCCGACAACATCCGTGTGCCAGGGCGTATACAAGACCATTAGTATTAACCTGTTCATCGAAGTTTAGACCTTGGCGTGCTCAGGGGCAAGCTCAGTTCCACCGCTGTGCGCCGAGTCAACAGGCAGAGAAGGGTGAATAGCCTTCTCCATATCGTCATCCTGTCCAGGATTGGCAGTCTGGTACTCGAGCCACTTGAACAAGGCATAAACCAAGAAGGACAGAAGAGCACCAGCGAATGGGCCAATCCAGTAGATCCAGTGGTAGTTTACGAAACCGACAATGACAGCAGGACCAAATGACCGAGCAGGGTTGATTGAGGTGCCAGTCCAATTGGTAGCCGTGATGTGGGCAATGAAGACGGAGATGCCGACGCCGATGGGCGCAAGGAACGTCGCGCGGTGCTTCTCGACAGCGAGGAAGTAGACCGTCAAGACGAGCTGGGCCGTCAGAAGCATCTCGATGAAGAAGCCCTGGGGCACGGTGGCGCCGCCGCCCAGGGTGTTGGCGACGCGGAGAGGGCCGGGGAGGACTCCGTATACCACGGCAGCGGCAGCGATACTAGCGAGCAGCTGGGCGGGTACGATGCAGAGACCTCGGAGCGGCTTGACTGCTCCGACGAGAACGAGACCGAGGGTGACCTGTTATGAGATTGTTATTCAGCGTTTGAAGTAGAAAGGGTTGGGGGTTAAGATGAACTGGGTCGGAAACATACCGCAGGGTTGAACATGCCACCGCTGACGCGGTAGAAGATCCATACATTGGCGGTGATGGCTGTGCCGAAGGCGGCGGCGATGTAGAGCAAGCTGTCAGGAGAGAGTGTGGCCGCTGGGTCGTCGGGGTTGTTGGTGACGATGGCGGTCTGGGCTCCGAGGAAGGAGAGGAGGAGGAACATGAATGTTCCGCAGAACTCACCCAGTACGATGACTAGGAGGTTGCGCTGGGGCAGGGAGAAGGGGTAGCCTCGCTGTCCCGCGGGAGGATGGGTGGCGTGCACCGCATCGATTGCCTGCTTCACAGGCGTGTGATGGGTGTTGGAGGCTGACATCTTGTAAGTGATGGTTGAAAGAAGTCGTCTAGGTTAGGAGAAAGAGACTGTGAGATGATGGTGAGACGGTGTTGTTCGATGGCTTGGGTGATAGAGGATTCTTGTGAGAGCCCAAGCCATCTATAAATACGTATC